GCCCTGGGGATCTCCCGGGGCTGCCAGAAGGGAGGGCGGGGGCCGCCGAGACTAATGAATGCGCTGTGTTTGCTCATCTTTACAGAGTCCCTTATTACTGCTAATTGGGAGGGACAGTCCAAACAGGCACAGAGGAGCAGTTGTCGCAGAAGCGTGACTTGCTTCCTAAGGAGCGGCCGGGAGCCCCGCGCCCGGCCGCATCCCGCCCTTGTCGGGGACCCCTCCGGAGCCAAGCACCGCGGGCAGCACGGGGCGGCTCGGGCGCCGCAGCCGGACAGACGTGCAGCTGTCCGGGACGCGGAGGAAGTCACCGGCTGACGGGAGGGGTGGGCTGCTGGCTCTGCGCATGGGGTCGGGGATGTGCTCCGCATTGATGTGCCCCGCTGCGCCCGGGATGCTGCTCCTGCAGAACCCCTGGGGTCTGGGAGGGGGCACGCTGTGCCCTGCCTTGTTATGGGGCTCCTTGGCAGGAGGGAGATCTCCCCTCCAAGCGTAGCTGTATCTTGCCTTTCCCGTTTATTTGTACGTTTGAGTGTTCTCATCCAAGCTCATATTCCATCATTTATTGCTGCTTTGCCTAATTAAAACCTTTTGGATTATTCCCCTGCCCACCGAGTGCTCCTTGCAGCTGGGTACCAATTCAATTTCTACAGAAGGATTGACCCGCTGCACTCATTTTTAAGAGATTTTTTTTTTATGTTACTTGGGGGAAACAGCTAAGCATAAATGTTTTGGAAGTCAGAGGAGGATGGGCTTTGTTTCTCAGCCACGTTTCATGTTTGTAATACTGGACAGCAAAAGGGAGTGGGCTCAGGGAAGCAGGTCCATGGGAGTGCCAAGGGTAGGAAGGGCACTGTCCTGTCCTTCCCGGGGTCGAGGGTGTCCCCTCAGATTCAGAGTATGCCCAGACGTGCGGTGGAGCAGATGGGGTCCCCTGGGAGGGCTCAGGGCTGCTGCTGAGAGCTGGGAGAGGAGGGAGCTACTGCCTTTTGAGAAATCGGGTCTGGCTCAAGCCTGCATTTTAGTTTTTGCCTCTTATTTTCTAATATAAAAATGAAGGTTTCCACAGTGAAAACTCGATTTCTATTTGAATGATTAATTCCTCTCCCTTAAAAAAAAAAAAAAACAAAAACAGAAAAAACAAAAAACCAAACGTCCACATCTCCTGTTTGTTGTGCAGGAGGATGGAGATTATGTGCATCTGCAGCCTGGCTTTAAATATGTTTTAAAGGTGTATTGTGCACACATTGTCCCTGAAGAGGATAAACCTAATGGAACAATCTTAATCTCACAAGTTTGCACCCAGCGCTAAAGCACCAGCAGAAAACACTCTGTGTGTAGCTGGAATCCTCAAGAGGAGCCCTAGCCCTGGCAGAGCAGCCAACAAGAAGCATTTTTTCCTCTTGCATGTGTGGCACAGATAAATCAAATTTGTTTTGCAGCCCATTCTGCTTTAGATTTCCTGTGTCATAACTGAATGAATTTGTTGTTCATTGATACCTTAATATATAGGTTGTTGGGGAGGGATTTTTTTGTTCAAGGGGGAAAACAATGTCCCCTTCACTCATGCTTGAATGGATTCATTTATTCTCCATAACCTCCGGAAGTCATTTATTTTGCCCTGCAACAGCTGCAGGGTCTGTTTGTGTAGGAGGGCTGGCAAGGCCCAGCCCTTCCTCCTGCCCATGCCCAGCGACAGTGAGGCTGGGATGGGCATGGGCTCATGGCCTTTGGGAAGAGCTTGGGACAAAACTGTGCTTGGCCTCTCAGAAATGGCTCTGCTCTGCTTGGGGTGAGGCCACGGCACAGCACTGCTCCTCTCTCCTCTCCTCTCCTCTCCTCTCCTCTCCTCTCCTCTCCTCTCCTCTCCTCTCCTC